ACAATTTCTAACTTTCCTCACCCTCCGTCATCCGCTCCTCTAACAGGATTCTAGCCCGAGTCGTGAGTACCGCGGCGACATAACTATTCTCCTGCATAGCAATAGGTGCCAGTGAGCCACAGATCATGTCAGAGATTAAAAGAAAACCAAATCAGGCTTTTAAGAGGCAAGTATGAATTAAATTAAATGGCAGCCGGAGGGCTAGTCATGTGATTGTGTGAGAAAACCCAATCATTATTCAATAAAGACCTGGGCTGATTTAGTTCTAATTCAAGAATTATAAACACTTAAATATAATATAAATATATAATATATACAAAATTATGCCTAAAAAGTGCGTAGTTTACGGCCGTCCACCATTTCCCTTTATTTAGTATATTTGTACAATTTTTCGTAGACTATAATTTCTGTCTTTGAAAATGCCTGTCACTTCGGGTCGAACAAGAGCTCAGCTCGAATCCATGGCAGTCGCAGGAGAGTGAATAGCATTTTATTCTACACTGTTGGAGCATGTTTGGGTATGTGGTGTCTATGCGATGTTCAAATCATGTGAAATGTGAGCACTCTAACAAGATACGAGACTATCTAAACAACTTCGTTCTGTTTCCTTTCTCCCTTCCTCTATCTACTCGGACTTATCTCCAACAGTCCCAAAAGTTGTACCCTCATTTTCCTGCACTTCTTCTTCTATTCGTAATGTTGGCCAGTTTGTTTGTTTCTGTAGAACACTGTGTTTTCGACCTTTAGTCATTTTTTCGTTAGTTTGTGCGCTTTTCAAAAGTTTACCAGGAAAGTGAACCGAAGACTCTCCTCTGTCTTTCGGCACGTCGGTGACAGCGAAACGCCAACCTATTCGAAATGAAGTCGACTGAATCGAATTCTGTGATTAGCCTTGCCTCCTTTCAAAGAGGACCAAGTGACTCCCGAACCATAAGAAGATGCGTCCCTGCGAAAGAGCCAAGTTCGAGGCCCACCCTTCGAGTAGAGTGTGTTCATAGCCGTGAATGCCGACATGAATGCGAAACTTGTCACCGGCAGATGGGCCATCGGTCGACGGGACATTGGGCGGGTTGGCTGAGTTTCTCGGAGCCAGTTTTTCTGGCGCATGTACGACAAAGGTTGTGGTTACCTGCAGGTTGAGATGGAAAAATGATTGGAGTACAACCGTGGCCGAGCCCACGGGCTCTGGTTGCAGGTCAGCGGTGAGGCCGTTTGTGTCGGGGTGTGCAATGGGCTGGGGGTGTTGACGGAGGCAAGTCCGGCCGGTACCGTTCTTCCGATTGGAGCCAGACGACTTGGCAACTGGGACAGATTAGCATCCTCACTCGGCGTTTGTGATCCCTTTTGTGCCCAACTACGCCGGCCGCGATTAGATCTCCAATAACCGGGCCGGGCGGGAAAGGGGGCAAGTCACGCTAGAGCAGAAGGAAGACCGTCCGAACGGGCGGAGGGAGGGCCGAGATGTTAAAAAAACCGACTGACATTGCACGAAAGGGGGGCAGGTGGAAAGCCTTTGGTGACGCTTTTGCCGATTGTTTGTATAGCATTAGAGTCCCCCCCTCGGGGGGGACGGGGAGTCCGGAGTTCAAGGGAATCGGGGGTCATGGTTCCGGCAAGAGGGTCAGACTCCAGACTAGAGCACATCGTGTAGAAGAATGCTGCCAAAATGACGACCAACTGGTACAAATAATACATTTTAATCTACCTGTATCGTGAGCACTATAACTGGGTGCTACATTGTACGCGTGCGGGTTCGGTCAACTGAAATGCCATCTCTCTCGACCAGTAAGACGGAGTAGAAAGCGTTTGTGCCTACTTTCATACGTGATAGAGATAGGAAAAAAAACAACGTATATAAAATGTTTACAAATATTCGAAAAAATTCTCAACCAACAAGCCCATTCATGTGCTCTTCATGCAAAGCCTGGCGGAGAGGAGAGGGAGCGAGTGAGCGAAGGAAGATGGGAAGATGGGAAGATGGGAAGATGGGAAGATGGAAGGATGGGAAAATGGGGGAGAAGTGGCATACAAGTGGGAGTGGATAAATAATGTGATGAATGACTCAAAGTGTGCCGACATGTAGAAAAGACAGAGACGAATTGGTTGGAGTTGGGATGGGTAGTTACATGTCGGCCTCAGGACGTAGCCGTTTCGGTAGATTTGATGAGATAATGTTGCCTGTACGGATTGGACATGAAAGTTCTTCTGCGCCCGGCCAGTCACTGCCGCCAAGTCAGTGACCCAAGAAAGCAGGTATGCCATTTTTTTCACCTCAAAGACTCGTCAACAAGACGCGCATGAGATCGCGACTCACCAGCCCTTCCGACCGCCGACCCGCAACCAAACGGTCTCCGAGCCAGCCGAGCACCGATTCGTCGCCACGCCGACCCGAAAAAGGCTGACCCAAACCGGAATGAACCCACTCCTCATTGATTGGGGTCATCTGATTTGTCCTCTCCTGTCCTCTCGGCCCCTCTCCCTTCATCATGATTTGTCGTCTGGTACCACCTTCCGCCCTGCGCCCTCCTCAGCCTCGCGACTTCGACCGCCCTCTGATCGGTACAAAGACAAGGACGACCCGAAAGTTTGGTCTCTACACTCGGGACGAAGCATGCAAATGAAGTACCGGGTTACGACACACAATGTTTCTGCATCTCATTCCGGCCCGTGACGTAGCGATTGTGGGCATCACCGAAAATCGTTCGGGAACAATTAGGCGCAAAGACGACTTTCCGAAGTAGCCACAACGACTGGGCGTACTTTTTACGATGTTTCTGTGCACCGAAGTTGCACTCATCGATGTTGCTGCATTGTGCTGAGAAATGGTATAAAACGACAATCCTATGAACCCTGGTACTTGGTCACTGGGCATTCTGGAAATCGTGAGCGGGTACGAGTCCCGCCATTCAACACTTCCGACACAATGATGAACATAATGAACATGGTAGAAGTGGGTTGACCTCGTTGTCGCAACTTGGTCTTGTTTTCAGGG